GTTGTTTAAGCCCATTGGAATATATGTTGGGCTTTTGTAATTTGGAGAGTCTACTGAAGTCGAAAGGTAGGTTTGTTAGTGCACGCAACATTACTTTGTCAAAAAAGTCTCAAAAGTTTTCACATTAACCAACTCATATTCCCTTCATTCAAAAATAAATGACATCTTAATATATGAATTTAAAATAATTAAATTATATAAAAACAATAATTATTATATGTATATATATATTTAAATATACAATTTAGGAACATGTGATATATGTGTAACAATAAATTTTATGAAAAACATAATTTTTTTGTAGAACTTGAATATATTTTCAAGTTCAATTTTTTGTCCATTACAAATGAAGTTGGAAGAGTCATTGTTGACAATCTTCCTGACATAGTGCTAATAATGAACTAGATCAAAATAGCTTGATTATATTCTAGTGCTTCTTCTATTAGTGAATTTTCTAGAAAAAAAATATATCAAACGACGCAACGCACCCTGGGTCGCTACGGAAACAACCTCCTTGTATAATTACAAGGGTAAGATTTGCGTACAACTGACTCTTCAGACCCTCAATCCGTTGGAAATATACTGGGTATGCTGTTGTTGTTGTTGTAGAACTTGAATATATTTTGATCAAACGATTTTGCGGATATCTCTTCTTGGATTTGGACTTGGGATCTTTCATGATGGATTTCGACCTGAATGATGTTGTCTCCAGGGTACAATCATAATGATCATGGTCGCCTCCGCCGATGTTATTTCCATCACAATGTTCAGGATTCGAGCCCCGGCGACCCGGATGAGCGGTGTAAACGTCCAGAGGGTGGGTCACATCACCAGCATTGCCACGCCGTGGCCTGTGTCGTTGATGTCTCTGTGAGGAACTCGAACTTTGCATCATTCAAATACCAGAACACGTCGACGACGATCTACTACCGAGAGCCATGACCTGGGAGGGAGGCCTGGGGGCCGCAGGGGAGGGTGCGAATGCCGCGGCCGATGAGGATAAAGTCATGGTGAACTTAACGACAGACTGGGTGCTGTCGCAATTGGATCTGGCGTCGGACCTCCGGTCGGGCGTATTGACTATGAGATATCATGTTGATTGTGGTATCTACACAAAATTATACTAGAAAAAGAACTTTCTTGTTCACTCAGAAAAGAATAATTATTTTCCAATGGAACAAAATCTGATTTTTAGTAGAGATTGAAAACTTGGCTCTGTTAGTATCCCTAACTAAAATGGTAGTTGCACCTTTTCTATTGGATCTTAATTCCTCACTTAGTCAAATGACTCGTGTGGCTCATGACCACATCACACGAGTCATCTGGCCTATTGTACACCTCACCTCCCCTGTCCTTTTTTATATTTTTTTTTCTATTTTTAATGTTTTTTTGAACATATTTCTTGCGATTACTAACGAGTCTATCATAGATCAATTAATCAAACTAAACGGTCCACAACACAATGATAAACACAATTAAACATACCAATCTATCACTCAATATGCATGTGATGGGTTTCTTCTCAGATCTGGAACGGTCCAATGAGAAAACGTCCGGATCTGGGACGAACCGGTATGAGTGAGCTTAGATCTGATGTGATGGCGCTCGGATCGTTGTTGTTGAGCCGCAAGAACACCTGCAAGAACTCAACGCCGGAGGGGTTTCCGGCGTAGAGCCTCCGACGCTCAAGTCAGTATATGAGAGAGATGATGAGAGCTGCTATGAGAGCAGCAGCAGTAATGGAAGGGTATGGAATCAATGGGAGTTAGAGTTTTGGGATTACCTCAGTCCTTTATATAGGAGTACAATATATACCTGAAGTCCCCAAAGTGCCCCGGCCGACTTAATGGAAATGTCCAGAATACCCCGGTCGGTTCATATTCCGCCTACTTCCTAGTCAGCATCTAGATCCTTCCTTACTTCCTTCTTATCCTTAACTCTTCTTCAATATGCCGAGGTGTCTCAAAGCTATTGGGAACCACGAACTACAGGACTCCCTCAGTCGACCTAGGATATTGCGTCGAGTCAACTGGGTCGCATTTAACCGTTAGTAGACCCTAATATGTCGGGCCACTGTCTTACCAGAGGTCGACTTATTCTAGTCGACAGGTGTACGTTGACTCGGTCGAGAGCCAGACTTCTCGACTGAGTATCATAGAACCTTACTAATAGAGTCGACTTTGCCGAAGTCGACTTGGTAGTCTCGAACCGTGATGATATGAACCGCTATGAGCCAGTTGTGACAATGCCACGATTACTGAACCGATACACGACAGTATGGCTATATCATCTAGTCCCCCCCAAAATTACTCGAAGCGATTCTGAGCTTACGAGTAGATTTTGTCGACTGGATGTTTCCCTCGAGTCTTTTCATATGTCCCGTCATCAGTTGTCATCTCGGGTTACATCCCTTCATTACCTCAACTTGTAGTACGACTCGTTTTTCGCGAATCTTGACTTGATTAGATAAGTCTGAATCTTTTTCAAATTTCAAAATTCAAAAGATTAACATTTTCTCTCTCCGCCGCTTCGTATTCTGTGCCTCATCTTGGCCGTTGAAAATGACTTTAATCCGAGGGCTGGGGTTTCTTCGCCCTCTCTATAAGTAACCCCTTCTTTTTCTCTTCATCACTTTTTACACTCGCCTCCTTCAAGATCTCTATCTCCGGCAATCACAGCTTTCTCAAGTTTCCCGGCGTTCTAATTTTCCGGCGTTCTTCTCCGATTTTTCGAGACTTCTCGTCAAGCATCATGAGCATGAGTAAGTTTTCTTTGCCTGTTCGACTTGTTTTTTATATGTTCAAGATAGGAGACTTTTTCGTTTTTCTGGGTAATTTGTCTGGGGATAAGAACATTTTCATTTTCTGGGGATTGTATGTGAATTTTCTGGCGATTTTCCTGTTGAATCTCTAATTGTAAGTTTTTTTATCTTTTCAAGTGTTCGTCTTTCGTTAGTCGTCTTGTTACGAGATCGACTTCCTTCCTTTCCCGACTTGACCTTTATTTGTCAAGTCGAATCGATAGGGGAACTACTTATTCCCTCTCCCTTTCTCCCCATTGCCGAGGCGTTTCTCGTGTCATTAGGGATGGCAGCGGTTCGGGTTCGGATCGGATGGAACCTCAGGGCACCCAAAACCAAAACCCAAACTTAAAAACCAAAACCAAAACCAAAACTGTTTCGGGTGAAAATCCTTCACCAAAACCAAAACACGCGGATACCCAAAAACCAAACGGATACCCAAAAAACCAAAAATATTATAATAAAACAGACTCCAGAAACATAGAAATAGAAGTTCAAGGCCTTCAGGCACACACACATACACACATACTGTCCAGAATTATTTAAAAAAAAACACCACTAGACACTTGAGGCATTAATCTTCACTTGAGCCACACACTGTCCAAAAGTACTGCCTAAGCGCCGGCGTCGCCCCTTTGGAGGATCATTCATCAATTATGGTGGAAGCATCTTCATCCTGTAATATAAAAATAGAGAGTAGCTCAGCACTTGAATGTTTAATTTTAATGTAAATTCACAAGGAAACAACAGCACTACCATTTCTTCTTTTTCATCAAGACAAGT